CCCCCCCCCCCCCCCCCCAACCGAGAAAATATTGGCCTGATTGGAGTTCTCTGCTAGACTATGAGCGCCACGAAGGAAGGAGGCTGTGCCCGGTCATTTATTAATCATATACTGGCTTAGCAGTTCTCGGCAGCCTGTTAAAGCAACACCTAGATGCCAGATATGGTTAACTGGAGGGGAAATGAAACAATGGGTTTAATGTGTCTATCAAGTGCCCATCACATAAAGCGTGAAACAAATGTGAATTGTTGCACAATTAGCCGAGATCTAGTTTATCAAAATTCATGGCCTTTAAGCCAACAAAATGTGATAGGGTCCAAAATTATGGTTCACGTCCAGTTGGGTGGAATGTCATGTAACGCCTGGCTCCTCTCTCATTTAGATATTATAGGATGCTTTGTCACATAGAAGAATGAATATCTGCAGTATTGTTATGGCCTTAAATTAAAATTTCCACGGAGGGTTAATAGTTGATCATCAGTGAAGCAGCTGACAAGAGTTTATTGGGAATTCATGATCTACAAGCCCCCACGGTCAGTCTTAGGTGAGTGCCGGGGCAGTGAGAGCCCACAGGGCTCTGCCTAACTTGAGGTGATTGAATCCTTGATGGAGAAAGAATATGTGTTCAATTGACTAGATAATTAGGTACACATTGAAGTAAGGAACTGTTGTGGGTTGAATTGTGCCCCCCCAAATTCACACGTTGAGCCCCTAACCCCCAATAACTTCAGAATGCGACCTTATTTAGAAATCGGGTCATTGCAGATGTAATTAGTTATGATGAGGCCATACTGAAGGACGGTGGGCCTGTCCTCCAGTATGACTGGTGTGCTTATAAAAAGGGGAAATCTGAACACAAAGATGAGCACAGGGGGAGAACGGCACTGAAGAGAGAGAGAGGAGACAGTCACCTACAACCCACGGAGACATGCCTGGAGCACATCCCTCCCCTCACAGCCCTCAGGAGGAGTCAACCCTGCTTACACTTTGGTTCTGGGCTTCTTGCCTCCAAAACTGTGGGACAATAAATTTCTGTTGCTTAGGTCACTGTGCTTGTGATCCCTTGTGAGGGCAGCCTACCAAATTACTACAGTGATGAACACTAAATTCTTCTCACTGACCAGGGTCTCTCGACTGGGCACTATTGACATTTGGGGCCAGATAACTCTATCGGTACCATGGATGCGCCATGTAACACACACACACACACACACACACACACACACACACACACACACACACCTTTGCACTGGAACCTGTACTATGCCTGTGACTATTTTCAGAGAAGGGACAAGGTATAGAAATTCTGATGAAAGAGAAAACCAGTCTAGCTAAGTATCTACTTACGACATTCCCGGTTGCAAATAAAGTACAGGACTTTCCAAATTATGGAACCTTACAATCTATAAATGAAACCCAAGAGTGAAATCCCTTGTCTTGACCTCCAGATAAGAAGGACTACACAGGAAGGCTAAGCTTGAATTGGAACTTTTACCAAACTGTGACCAAATTCCACTGGGATGACCCATTGAAACGGACATCATACAAATAAACTCCCTCAGCCAGCCAGAAATGCAAAACAATGGTTTGGACCTTCAGCATCAGCTAACTTGAAGTGAGTCTATGCTGAAGTTGAAGGGCAAGGCAAGGTCAGTTTCTCTCAGTTTGTATATTTTTATAGGTATAACTAGAGAAAAGAAACTAGAGCTCCAACATCGTATGTTGGAACAGGGAAAAAATGGAATGATTGCATTGTAATTCCTCGGTCACTCTGCCATACACTATATTAAATTCTCTTATATGTTATGTAGTTCACCAATCAAAATTTAATCCAGATTTGGGGCACCGAGAGGCTTCTTCAAATTCAATTAGAATGATGCAAGAAAGTCCACAGTATGACATGCTCCATCTAGAGACGTGCATTTGGTAGGAAGACTTTTCTCTTTTTATCTTAAGATAAAATTCTACACGTTGGGATTTTTCTGCTTTGTTTTTCCTTTTGTGCCTAGAAAGAGATGTACAAAAGTATATTCCAATTCTTTACATAAACATACGTATACTGAGACCTAACATGAGTAAAGGTGCCCCCCGAGGTTTAAGATCAGTGCAAGAAATAATTGTTCTTCGTCATCATTGCAGAATTCCCGTCTTCAAATAGTGGACTTTTACTAACAGAAGGACGGACACACACGTTTTTCAACAGGAAACCCTTGCGTCCCTACATATCCAATTTACAGAGCATAGTCACTTGTTCAGACCAAAGTAATAATTGACAAAAACACCCTTCCTTGGCTTTGGTCCTTTCAAATATTAATGCACACGCTGTGCTTGGGTTTTAAGCAAAACAAAGAAGTACGTACGTTCATAATTATGTGACAGCTGAAATATCACAGACGCCCCACATGTCAGGGTATTCTTATGATTTGTCCATTCTAATGGCGTGTTTTGGAGCAAACACGTTACGTTGGCATGTTATCTGTTTAAATGCTCATAAGCGCATTTTGTGAAAAGGCTGTAAATAAATGCTCGGAAGCATATTTTGTTGAGTGGCTGTAAATGTGCTTGGGTGCACTGGGTGCTGTTTATATGCTTATGCTTCTATAATTCGAAGAGAAAATATACTGCTTCATTAACTGATACTGTTACCAGGAGGGCCTGACAATTATCAACGACCACTAACCTACTGGCTCGATCAGACAAGTGTGCAGGGCTCATAATTGAAGAGTTGTCCGTTTCATCACAAGAAGGGCCTAGAGCATGACAGTATCTCCTCAAAAATTTGGAGATGTTCTGTAAATAATTAATAACTCCCCTCTGATAGTACACAAATATCGAGCAGAACCTGACTACCAAGTTTA